TCGCAGTGCACTTCTGCAGTCTAGTTTATCTGTACAGAGGGGCGCAGAGCAGAAGCCCTCCCAGGTATCATCATTCAGTATATTTCATTATCAGATTTTCAGACTGTTCTGTGTACACAAGTGTAAATGCATTCCAGTCTTGGAGGATATTTTACTAAGCAGAATTTCCCATTTAGGCAGGTGAATTAAGCCCAAAGTCAAGCCAGCATTTATATTGGATGGTTTTCACTTTGAGCTTAAGTTATCTAGCTTTCTATGAAATAGGGGTGGAGAAATTTGACTATTATTATCTTTATTTTAAAATGGTAAATTATGTCACTGTTTTTCTGAGCTGTACTTATAGAATGTTGATCAACTGCATATTTCATTAAAAATAGAGCCTAACTAGGTCTGCTTCATTCAGTATAGCACCAGTTGTGAAAGGTTGAATAAAAATAATCATGCTCTATTTTTCATAGCCTTTTTTAAATGTGGTGCTACATGTGCATTTCTTGATCCCAACACCTCCAAGCTCACAAAAACTGAACAATATGGTAAATTTTTTCAATACATGGTATGTCCTTATGTATCGTGATATTATATTTTTACCCTATCACCCATCCCTACTAAGAAATTGTGAAATATCTCCCTGCAAATCTGCTACCCTGCACACTTCAGTACTGCTTAGTGTTATCTTGACACCTGAAGTGGCCCTCCAGGACTGGAATTTGGACCCTTGGTATAAAGACATGTTTCTGAATCATAGAAATGTCCATTCTGTTTCATATCTTCACTCTTTCTGTTCCACAGAGAGGAGCAGTTTGTTGATCTTTATAAGGAGTTTGAGCCCAGCTTGATCAACAGCACTGTGTACATAATGTCCATGGCCATGCAAATGGCTACCTTTGCCATTAATTACAAGGTACTGTACAATTACAAAGAAGTATCTGAACATAGCTAAAGATTTTATGTTTGCAACATGAAAAGTAATTTGTGTACATATGTAATGTGAAAAGAATGGTTAAGCAAATGCTCAAATTCACACAGTTCTCCACTTGATATATTTGATCAGCCAAGACATGTTTGGTGTCCATATTTTACTTATTTAGTTTAGCTGCAGGGGTGACGTTGCTAACAAACATGAAGTCAATAGTCACCCAAATCTTTTGTGTTTTAGCTGCATGGTGAAGTTTTGTTTAAAGGTTTGACTGTTCTGTACAATCTTAATGAAGACTTCGATGTGGTTTGAGTAGATTAAGATACGTTTGATGGGATGTATTATCGAAAAAGATTTGGGTGACTATTGAATTCTAGTATTTGTTAGCCTTATAGATGTAGTGCTAAACTGAAGAAGCAAAGTTTGGATGCCAAACATGTCTTGGTTGATAGACTAAATCTGGGATACATGGAAAACCTTGTGAATTTGATTTTTTGCCAAACCATTTCTTTATATAATTTTACTATATATTTATATTTGACATTGATAGGCTTTTTTTCCATAACATGAACTGCACTAATTAAAGGCAGTGTTTCCCCCTAGGGCCATCCTTTCATGGAATCTCTCACTGAGAACCGTCCCTTGCTGTGGAGCATTGCCTTATCTGGACTTGCCATTGTGGGGCTGCTAACTGGGTCATCACCAGAATTTAACGAGCAGTTTGCCCTTGTAGATATTCCAACAGAGGTGAGCACATGCAGCTCATACCAAAAACTTACAATGTTTAAACATGCCTTAAAGAGGAGTGCTACCATTAATTTTCTGTATAGTTCATAGGGATGTAAACAGAGTCAGCATGGTTTGTTGTGAAATGATGAAATGTTAAGAGAAACATATCAACTAGGATTTTGTCACTGTCCAAAGAAAAAGCATATCTTTTTGTCAATTTTTATTTTTTACATAATTTGAACATGGCGTTGAACATTGAAAATGTCACAATGAATTGACAAATGGAAATGCTCTTAAATTGCTTTACATTAAAATGTAAGATTGTGTTTTTTTGTTTTGTTTTGTTTTTGTTTTTGTTTTGTTTTTTCCCTTCTCCTAAGTTATTATTTTGGGATACACATTTTTCTTTGGACAGTGATGATTTTGTGGTGATATGAACCAGGGCTCACAATGGCTACAGTGCAAAAACAGCCATTCTTTGGCCACTAATTTTGCTTTTAAACACCCCCTCATGTGCCATTAATCTATTTTAAAAATTACATTTCAGGGCTGGAAAAATTGGTGGAATTCCTCTTTAATATAGTGAATTTTGTTTGGAATAGATAAAATGGTTTATCTTCTTTCTGTTTTCTGCTTGCAGTTTAAGCTGGTGATCGCCCAGGTCCTGGTGGTGGATTTTGTAGCAGCTCTGCTTGTAGACCGAGTTTTGCAGTTCCTGCTGGGCAAAGGAACCCTGAGGTTGCCGAACTGAACTGTTTTATCAGTAGTCGCCAAAGCAGCTGCTGCCTCCAGCAAACTGACTGCAGACGGGGAAAGAGGGCAGTCGTTAGTGGGCAGCCAACTCTGCGACACTCAGAGGAAGCAGGGATGGACAAGCATGGCACTCAATACTGTACACACCCCAGTGTTCCCAATCTCTGTTCTCATTCTTTCTCTTCTCGTCTTTTTCTTTACTCAGACCCGTTGCTTTCCTCCTGCTCAGATTACATGATCCCCTTCCATCCATTCTAACCTGCCCCTGCCCCTCCCCGACCCTAAACGGCCAAGAAGATAACAGTATTGTGTGGAATGAGTGTGTGTGTTTGGTGCGTTTGACTCACGCAACTGACAGGGGCATTCTCTAAGAGAACTGCAGAGTGATTAATTTTTTTTTTTTTTTCATTTTGTAAAAATACAGATGTCTGAGAGACTTATAAAAGACCAAAACTCACACGGTGCTGTGTCTTTTCTTATTGTGATTGTGTGAATACTGTATTCCTGCATTAGTATTCTGTACAAGTGCAAGGTGTGTTGTCCTTTTGAGGAGGAGAAACTTTCCAAATAATTTATACTGTTTATTTATAAAACATAGAATAACATGGAGAAACAATGGACGAGTTGCATTTTCACATAAAATCTTACCTAGATGTAATTGATTGAATGAGGTTGCTAAAAAAAGCATTTGAGGTGAGACACTACAGGTGAATAGGGTAATTTTTCAAAACAATATGTATCACACTGATCATAGCTTGTTGTTACTTATATGCTGAGATAGTATTTTTGTATAGGAGGTTTTACAAAACTTTACGTTTATTAGACATTATCCACTTATATATAAATACATTTGCATGTTTTTAAAAACTAAAATCTGGCATTCAGATGATGTTGAGTTAAAATCTTTATTTCATTATAGACTCGCTCTACAGAATGGATTTTACAGAGCCGGTTGCTGGAATCTGACTGTTTTATTGTTCAATCAAGAGGAAACTGCACTGCTATTAGAAAACACTTTTCATTTTGTGGTTATAAAATCTAGCTACAAAAAATCCTGTTGTATCCTTCAGAATAAGGTTAGGAGTGAATGTGTTACATTTCATTAATCCAAATATTCTAGAAGCTGAGATTTGAACTCTGAATATATAGAAAAGCTGATTTTGAGAAAAAAGAAAGTGGGCCTCAGAACTGAATTACCTACTGAGATGTCAGAAAACATGCACCACTTATGGGAACTGTAATAGTGCAAAAGAAATGGACATATTTGGATATTCCATTTGGATTCTACAAGAAACAGGCTTTTCAGTAATATATGACATGATATGGTTGTGCCAAGTGTGGCTGGAGCTAAGCAGTCATTAAAGGGAGACCTGTCTGTTAAGCATTAATATGTCCATTGTTATGTCCATTATTATTACAATATGTTGTATAAACTAGACTAAATCCTTGATTTACTATAAAACAGACAAATACCCTCTATTAGGTTGCCATTTTTGTTTGCAGCATCAAATGGTTGGTCTCTCTATTGACTGAGAAAAATAAGCTAAATATGTAATTTGGCTCAAATATTTTATTCAGCCTTTCAAAATTTTGCCAGAGTGTAAAATTGTATTTTAAATTTTTTTGTATTATTTTAACTAGGACAGTGCAACCATATGACATATGACATCACAGTGCTGGTGACCTTCTAGTAGAGGGATTTTGTCTGTTGTGTTTTAATAATAAAACATTTGCATTTGTTTTATACATCATATATTAATAGAATCTGACATCCACACTATTTCAAAGCATACAAGCCTTAACAGCCAAGGTTCCCTTTGAAGTTAATAAAAATTAGAAAATACAAACTAGCTGAAACGAACATATTTCTGTTGCGTTTGGAAGGGATCATCATTTCTGCCTGTAGTGTCTTGAGAAGGTGCCTTGTTTCATAAAAGCTTATATAGACGGAATTGATTAAAAAAGGTTTCTGTTTAAACTTGATGAACTTATTCATTTTCAAGGTTACCAGTGTTCAGGGTTGCCAGGTTGATGGAATTCAACCAAAGCCAATCAGTAGTAAACAAAGCACACGCTTATGAATATAAGGCCCTTTACTTCTTTGCAACAATATGCACCCAGAATTCTAACTAGGCAACTAGATTAAACTGATTTACTTGCCATCTTTGAAACACATCCCCTTGCATGAACTGCTGGTCATTTTTCAAAAATCAATACTTTTTTAACATAATGAGTTTGATTCTGGAACCTGAGCGTACAGTTGGCACAGGTTTAAAGATTAGAGTTAGACGTGTCTAATATTATGATTATTTGTTTACATTTTATACAAACTAAATGGACTGAACTGGCTCCCAGGACCTGCAAGCCTACATATTTTGATGGATATTTCAAAAAGTTATAGAGAGGATTCTAGTTGTTTATACATTTAAGATGAAGGTGCTCTGTGGCATGGAGTTCTAAAAGTGAATCTCTATGGCAATTCTCTTAAATAAAAAAAACGGCATTCCAGCCCAAACATAACATAGCATATTTTATTTTGAATGTGTAACGCCTGAGCACTCATTCACAATTCAACTACATTTCCCATAATGCTTGCACAAGCCGCTAATGGGAGGACAGCGCGCGGGCTTTGAAGGAAAATGGCGGAGCTTCAAAATGAAATGACTGAAGGGTTCGTAATTTTTTGGTTTGTCTTCGCTTTTTAACTGCAGTACGTCATTGTCAGCTATTCTCTTCTGGTAAAAAAGAGATGACATTCAAAAGTATCAACTGGATCTACTCCTGCAGATTTGTTTGTCCAGCTAAGATGTCGCTGAACGTAGACAAAGCGAGGCTGAAGTCAGCTTCTTATTCTCCAGCTTCTTGCTCGAGTTTTCCCGTTCCACCTTAAATGGTCCAGCGGTTCCATTCTGGCGTCTCAGAATGTAACTAAATGCGGTACCAATTAAGGTGGAACGGAAAAGTTTGAACAAGAAGCTGGCGACTTAGAATCTGACCAGTTTTGTGACAACATATGCGAGCTAGCAGGCAAAGTAATCTAGTTTAACTAAATTGTGAAGTAGCTAGTTTTAAAAAGATGCACGTTGTTGTTACTATGCTTGCTAACACTTTTAAACACAAGAATTAATACCTTTGTCCATTTCACAGGCGTGAGGGTGACGATATGCAGTCTACGGTAAGCAATTCAACCACTATCAGTGAATCGAGCTATCTGAATATTTTCAGTCATACAGTTAAACGTTAATTAAATGTTTGATATGCAAACAAAGTCACTCAGGGTGGTTTGGTATTAAATGCTGCATTCTAGAGAAACTTGCCAAGTCAGAATTGTTTACAGTGGTGGTGATAGGAACCAGACGTCTGAAGAGTTTAATGCCTCTGAAAGCTCCTTCACGGAATGGATGAGTACGTGTAGGACGTTGTGAAGCAAAATAGTCCCCAAAGAAAACTTTGTATTGTATTGTAAACATTGTGACTCCTGGTTCCTGTCACTGCCACTGTAAAGAAATCAGAGTCTGTAAGTTTCTCTCCAATGATCTGCTTTAAATCAGCCCACTCTGAATGACTCTATTTACATCTCAAGGACTGAATTATTCAGATATTCCCCTTTAATTGCCTAGTAATGTTAGTGGTCTGTCAAAGCTACTGGACTTGATTTCACTTGATTTCACCATCAGTTCCAGTGAAGGAAGTCATTTGACTTATCTATAAAATTTTTACAAATATATTTTCAGGAATTGCTTGTCAAAAGCTAGAACACTGGTTAGCTGGGGAGGTTATTTTAGTATTAACAGCCTATCCAGTGTGTTCAGAGCTAATCTCTTGCATTATTCTGAATACTAGGTCAGCTGATGTCTGTTTTAAAGTATGACAGATAAAATTACTACAAAACAACTACACAGAAACTGATTTTCGTTCATCTGAGGAACTTTGAGGTTTATTCTGAAGCTGTAGTTCACTGCTTCTCTAGGAAACGTTAGCTTGGTTAAACGTGCCTTGCTAAACTATTAAAGAGGAATTTCACAGATGTATACAAATTCTGCATAATTGAGATGTCAGCACAGTCATTCAGAGTGGTTTGATATGAAATGCACTGTTCTAGAGAAATTTGCGGAGTCAGAAGTGTTCATAATCGTGGGGGTAGGAACCAGATGTTTAAAGCAATTGAAAATTCCCCTGAAAGGTACCTCACAAAACTGTATTGCATTAAATAGTGATAAATATGTTGTTTGATGCCTGAGACAGTGTTTTACAATAGTTTTGAGTTAAGGTTTTGACCTAAAACAATTTTATTGAATGCCATTACATACATGCAGGGTGTTTTATGAAAAAGTAGCACTCAAGGAAAAGTTTTTTTTTTTTTAAAGATTTAACTTTTACAGATTTACATATTAAAAAAACAAATATAGGTTAACTGGTCATTTTGAATAGAAAGCAAAATGGCTATATTTATGTTGGACATGGCGACATCTGGTCCCTATCAGTGTCATTAAAAGAAAAAAAAGAGTCTGTACGTTTCTCTATAATGAAGAATTTCACATCAAAACACTCTAAATGACTTTGTTTGATGATTGAATTATGCAGATTTTTTAAAAAATCAGCAGAATTGACCCATAAGTGCACAGTTCACCTGTGGGGTGTAGTCAGTCATTTAGCTTTATGTTGCTTTTCTCTTAAATAACCTGTCTTTCTTGCCAGTCACACTTACTTCAGAGTCTTTTTCACTGATGTAGGTTACAGAGGAGGTTTCCCAAGGGACCAAAAGACCATTAGACAGGACTCCAAGCCCCGAACCTCTTCCAAAGTCTCCTCGCACTTCATCTCCCCAAACATTCATCCCACCTGTAGAAACTGAGAAGCCACCAGATGAACAAAAGTCAAGCTGTGCTGAGAATGACGTTAAAGAGGCAGTGGCAGAAGATGTTGTCATTGATCTTAGCCCCCGCTCGCGTCGAAAATCTTGGAGGAGGTCAACTAGAGGCAGGAGATCACTCCCTGCCCTTCCTAGCACCTCCCAGGGTGAGTCCTTTTGGTGTGCCTTTCTTCTGTTGTGTTTAGATATGCAGAGCATCTCATTGAAATGTAAACCAAACAGATATCCTGGAATTAGGGCTGTTGTTTTGTCTTTGTGTCTTTAAAGACACTATCTCTGTCCTGATAATCTGTGTTTTTATCTGTTGTTTCTCATTGTTCCCACTTTTCAGCTCTGTGTAAATCAATCAGCAAAGATTTGCGTGATGAGGAGAGGCTGGAAAAACTAATGGAAGATGCAATGCAGGTACTTAACACTGATCGTCAGTAGATCTGTCATAATTTTTACATAACCACAGTTATTTCAGTCATTTTCCACAGTTGTTAGATTTTGCAAACATACGTTTACATTAAAAAGCAAATAGAATGTGGATTAAGTGCAAAGTTTATTTCTTTCATTTTCCCCTGGAGCTGTGAGGCTAGTGTAGCTAATATGTCCACGGGTACTCAAGTAACATACTTGCAGATTTACAGTTTGAGGTGCCAGTATTCAAATACTGAAATCACTAGTCAGGTATTTGTTACATTTCATTACAAAAAGACAAAATCTAAAGACAAAACAAACATGCCAACAGCTCGGTGAAACACTTTGATTTTGCTCATTTTTTCAAGTAAGCAATTTAAGCATTTTTACTCTGAAAGGACATGTTTTTAGGGTCATTAGTGAGAAGGCAGAGATAGCAAGGCTTTTTATTAACTAGGCTAATTATTCTGTTCTAGCTAATGTCCAGAAAGGCTAGGTTCAGAAAGGTTCTTGTAGGCTGTTTTTCCTTCCCTGCGGATAACCAAGTAGCCGTTCTTTAACTCTAATGGATAATTAAATATCAGAATTAGTCGGTATGCAAATTTCTAGTAGGTATCAATTCATTCTTACACCTCATCAGTTAACATTGTGCAAACAAAAGAATGGACAAAAGTACAGACAAAATCCAGGCTTGTGAAGGCTGGTACCACTGTTTTAAGCTATGCAAACATACTTTGGTCTGTATAATTACAATTAACAGTCTGTGAGTTGCTCAGAATCTACCTGGCCTTTGAAGGTAGAGGAGCCTAGTACAGAATTTATTTTGATTATTTGAAATCATAATTTTCAGTAAATTTAGGGGGGGGGGTGGGGAGGTAGATTTAACTTATTTATGTTCTTTTTCTTCTCTAATTGCTTTTAATAAGGCACGTGTGATATTAAACTGTAATTGGGCTGCTACAAACATAGTGGCGTACAGTGAACAAAAAAGACAAATTGTTAATTGCAATTATTTGTATGACATTTAGTCATTGGCTTTCATGATTGTGACAGATCTAATAGTCAGTAAATTCAGTTTTAAATCAGTGGGCTGTGCTTTGGTCTTGCTTTTAGCTGTTACCCTTTTCCTCTTTTCTTCTGTGTCTGTGTAGCTTACAGTAAAGAGGCTACAAAACACTTTGTGTACTCTCCCTGGTGCTGACATGGAGTTGCTTCAGACACAAGGTACTAGAATATTTATCTTTGAATAAATTACATTGGTATTCCATTTAAAGGGCCTGTATCATGGAAAGTTGAATTTCCTTCACTTTCTTGACATAAGAGTTTGATTTATACCACAGTCTGTAAACACTGTTAAAGTTTCAAAATGTGCTGTTCACTCATACAGTCCGTATATGGAAACGTTTTGATTTCGCTGTTTCTGTGATGTATTGACAACCAAATTATTTATATGTATCTGTCTGTTTGGCCTACATACACACACACATACACACATATGCATGTATGCCTTAAAGACACAATAATAAACAGTCTATTTAATTATTAAGTGTAAAGAGAAGTTACAAAAGCATCATGTATAAATAAATTATCATCATTTTTTGTACGTATAACCACACAAACATTGTAAGTGGTCCTTTTTTTCTTTTTTTGTAGTTGATTCCATGCAGACAGAATGGAAAATTCTGGCTGAAAACATTAGTCAAGAAAATTCACTTCTGTTCTTCAGCACTAACAGGTAATGGTGATGTTTGTTAGCTGAGGTCACTTTTTTTTTCAACTCCCTTTTGTCGTCTGTCTTTGATTAAACTTCTCTTTGTTTGTCTGTAGTGATCCCGCCATTCAGAAAGTCATTGAACGAACGAAGGAGGCCATCAGCAGGTAGGCGTGTGTTCTTAGGCTACTTATATGAAACTTAACACATGATACTTCATTTTTTGCTAAATGAATGTTATGTAATTGCTGTTTAAGGTTGCAGGCTGAGAGTTTGTCTTGGGAGTCCTTGCTGAACAAACATCGCTGTAAAGCTGAGGAATTGGCCAAGTGAGTACAACCACATACACGAGTGCATTCTAACATCAAGATGTTCTCACTTTAACATCCCACCTGAACATGGACTCTTAAAGGGCCCAAATCATGGAAAAACACATTTTCCTGCACTATTTTTAATAAAACAGTTTGATGTAGCTGGTAAATGTTGTTACAGTTCCCTCCCCAGTCCCTCTGGGCTAAGCTACAAAACAGCCTGTTTTGAATCCATTGGTTTCAAACAAACACATTTGCATATACCCACCTGTGCAGCCTACAGGAGTTTAGCACCACCCATTCACATTAAAGTTTAAAGGAATTGTTTCAGCTTGGACTGCTTTTTAATGAGACAAAATACAGGATACAGGACAGCCAATTATTAGAACAGAGCTTTACGCACATGCAAACAAACACACATTATTTATATATAGAATTAGGCTGATTTTATGTATGTAAGTTAAATAGGTTAAAAAAAAAAATATATATATATATATATATATATATATATATATATATATATATATATATGAAATCAGGTTTAATGACGCAGTAACAACAGCCTAATTCTAATGGATATAGAGAAGGTGGAAAATGGTCATGTGGAAATGAATTAGGACTGCTTGTGGTACGTAAAGCCACACAAGTGTTAAAAGTAGACCTCAGTGTGAAAAAATATTATACAAAAAGAATGTAGCATAAAACCTGGGCATAACTACATAGTCTCTGTCATAACTACATAGTAGTTATGATATAATTCGTAGTAATTACTGTTACTAATTGTATGCAATTGTATGACTCATAACTGAAAAATGAACCTGGAGTCTAAGTGGTTAAAACCTTCTGATGTGCTTTAACTGTCTGTTTAATAAGTGGTGTTCATCATCATCATCTACAGGCGAGTAGAGCAGGCACAGGAGAGAGGCGTGATGCTGGACCCATCCTGCCTTGCCCAGTCCTCTCAGAGCAAGCTTATCCTGAACAAACCAGATTACCATGCAGCGCTGTGTAGACAGCAGAGAGTCCTCAATACAGTGGAGCTGGTGGTGAGGATTAACTGTGCTAATGATTAAACTAATAACTTTGAAGGGAAACGGTTCTTACTCAGATTTCTCTAGAATGGAGCATTTAACATCAAACCACTCTGAATGACTTTGTTTACATATCAACCATTTAATAATGCAGGAAGTTGGAAAAAAAACTTTCACAGACCAAAAAACAGTTACAGTTACAGTTGTTGTCCAGCAGGTTGTGCTGCAGTGGATCTTTTACAAGCCAGATTATTTTTATTAGCTTTTATGTGTGCTGCTATTCACAGTTGATGGGTTAAACCTATTCTACCATTATAAAGTTTAAAGTCAGTGTTTTCAATTGCAAAAAAACACTTCAGTTGCAGATTAATGTATACAATGATTCTGATATACTAGTCATGTGCAGCTGTCAGGAAGCTTAGATGTTGGATGTGTCCAAAAAGATCTGTAAATGAGCTGTAAATGATTCTGAAATGAGTGAGAAAGCTGAAAAGCATGGAGAATAAAATTATAAAATGAAATATTAAATACAGTTTCTATACTGAATGCTTAATATGTCAAAAGCGGTAAGCAAATCTTAAGGCAGATAACCTAACAAAAGAATAATATTATCATTTAGTAATTTATCATTGTTTGCAGAATGCTTGAAATATTGAATAGAACATGTAATATAGATTTTGGTGTCTCGTTTGTAATATTTAAGGCTACATTATTAATTTATTATTGTATTTACAATAACAATCAATAATAAGTGGTTGGACACCTGACAGTAGTGTAATTACAGTTTTTTCTATTGCACAAAAAGGAGACTTACACATATATGAATACTCTGTTGCTGTCTGTTTTTGTTCGCAGTTGGATTCTCAGTTTATGATGGTAAAGGAACTCCTGTCATTCCAAGAGCAGTCTCAGTTACTGGTGAAGGAGACCAGTGCCAGACTGGGTGAGGAATCGTTGTCTCTCTGTCTGACCACACAGAAGGAGAAATTTCTGACTGTTAGAAACTGTTTGGAAAATGGTGATTAATTTAAGTCTGTTTGCACTTGTTTTTTACAGCTCGTAGTGCTGGATTCCAGGATCTTTCGACTTCCCCAGTGAGACAGCTCCTAAAGAGGCCTCTGTCTACTACATCAGTCTAGTTCTACTGGTATGACGTCTTGTATGAGGCAGTAATTTTCAGGGACTGTCCAAGATGTCAGTTTTTAAAAGATAGTGTATGCGTTTCATGTTCATATAAACACTTGTTCTCTTTGTTCTGTGAAATAACCAACATGTAGCTTTTTGTCAAATAGTTGTGAGGCTAATGCTGACAGACTTGTTTATCTGTTTAAATTGTACAATGTCATGACCAGGCAATGTCATTCCTAGCACCTCCTAATGTCCACCTGTTGAGCAATATAACAGCAGTTACTTATAAGGAAACATAGATGCATTATTAAATGCATTATTATGAATGGGGAATTTAAAAGTTATGCATGATTTAAATTGTTAAGGTGTAAACAAAAAAACAGAGTGGTTTGGTGTCAAATGAGCTGTTCTAGAGAAACTCACCAAGTCAGAATTGTTTACAGTGGTGGTAATAGGAACCAAACGTCTAAAGCGTTTAAATGTCTCTAAAAGGTCCCTCACAGAAAGTTTTTGGCATGAAATGGATATGAATATGCTGCCTGATGTCTGAGACATTGTTTTATGATAGCTTTGAGAGACAGTTTTGACCTTTTGTATTTAGCACTGTACGTATTTAACACCATTTAACAATACATGTAAAAACTCAGAAAATATATGTAGGTTCACTGACCATTTTGGATAGTGAATAAAATTGCTTTATTTGTGTTGTAAATATTGCAACCCTAGGTTTCTGTCACCACCACTGTAAAGAAATCTGAGCAGACAGGTTTCTTAGCAATGTGCCATTTCACCATCAAACATCTAAATGACTTTGTTTAGATCTCAACCATTGAATTATGTAGAAATGGAAATTCCCCTTTAAAGATAGACTGCTGAACACTAGATGGCAGCATTGTTAATCATTCATAGTAAAACATAAGCGTACTGATATTTGCTTACTTGTACCTATTTACCTCCTTTTTATTGTTCTTTTTTTTGTTTTTTTTTTCTTTTTGAATATCAGAAGCTTAATTTGGTTAAAAAAAATGTCTGTAGGTGTGAGAGAAATAGATATCAAAATATGAACATGCATTCTTTTTAAAAGTAATTCAATTAAAAAGAAAACTTTTTATTTTAGCATAAATAGGCTTTCTGCTTTTAATGTTTATCTGAACACCGGACTGTTTAAAATTCTCTTGTTAGACAGACTTAGCCTAGTACTAGACTAAAAAAGGTTTTCATTTAAGAACCACTTTTGAAAACATCATTTGACTCAAGTCTAAGATTAATCTTTGTCGATGGTCCTTTAACTCTGTATACATGTAATGAATTGAACTAGTAACCCTCTTCATTGGCCTGTTTCCAGCTTTCCTGTTTAACGCTGCTTCCTGAGGATATAAATAAACTATTCTTATTTCTTCTCTAGCTCTAGAGAAAACCTTTGTGCGTTTTCGGTAGCAGAAGAAACCTGCAATCCGATCTTTATTTCCCCATTTTAATGAAGACTGTGCTGTAGTGCCCTGTGTTCTCTCCACCCATTTGTATCTCATGACCATTCTTTGGGCCTTATCCCCCTCCCCCACTCCGAGCACACCACCCCCTCTCTTCTCTTCTCAGTAATGCCGGGCCACTGAGGCAGAACGAAGCACTGACATTGTGCCAGTGATTCACACTCTGGCTTTTCATTCACATCTTCTCTCATGCTCTCTCTCGTTCTCGCTTTGCTTCACCTCTGCCTATCAGGCCGCTGAGTATCGAGTTACAGCTGACCATTTGAGATGTTTACTTCTCCTCTAAAACTACAAAACTCCAAGCAGAACGCTGCAGAGGAGAAACCCGTAGCATTAGCAGAAGTTAAGTGAGTGCAACAAGCTTAGCGTCTGGCTGATATAGCAAACTTTATTTACAACAAAGGATATTACAGCAGCAGCAAAAGGGGCAGTGGAAGATGTGCACATTGTTAAAGTTTCAAAATGTACTGTCCGCACCTCAATCCATACACTCATCTGGACATATATTGAAAACTGCCTCTATACATGTAAACTAAGCTGAAAAACTTGGAATTTGTTTTTGTGATGTCATGAAATCCAGTGTATTTACATATATCCACCTATTCAGCCTACAGCAATTTAGCCCTGCCCATTCATACTGAAGTTGTAAGGAGTATTTCAGCCTGGACTGCTTTTTGAATGGCACAATACAGGGCAGCCAGTCAGAGCAGAGCTCATTTACATGTATCAGTCTTAAAGGGACAGTATCAATAACAGTATTTTTAAATCTAATGCATAAAGAGAGCATGGAAAATAATTTATATGGAAAATAAATGTAAATTAATGTAGAAATGACTGTTTTTGGTACATAAACCCACACAAACTTTATAAATGGACCTCCGGGAATAAAATAATAAAACACTACAAAAAGAAATAACATGGGGTTTTTAAACAGCACTTTGAGTTAAAGGGAAAGCCTTTTTTTTCAAGATTTTTGCATAATTAAATTGCTGAGATACAAAGTCATTCAGAGTGGTTTGATGTGAAATACTCCTTTTTAGAGAACCTTACCGAGCCAGAGTTGTTCCTGTCATGGTGATAGGAACCAGACGTCGAAAACATTTAAAAGGCCGGTGTCATAAAAAAAATCTTTTGGCTTTGTTGAAATAAGACTTTTGAATGAGGCACAATGCAGGGCAACCAATCAGAACGGAGATCATTTACATATATCAGCCTTAAAGGCACAGTAATGATTTTGACTGCTTGAGACATTGTTTTACCACACATTTGTGATGACTGAAACCTATTTTATAAAACACATTCATGATGAGTAGGTACATGGAGGCAAATAGTTTTCAATTAAATTGTACTTTTTTGTAGATTTATTACATTATCATATCACATCATTATCATCATATCATTACATATAAAAATTCACACACTTGTAGGTTCTGTGGTCATTTTGGATAGTAAATAAAATGTCTATCTTTGTATTGTAGACATCCCTGGTTCCTATCACCACCACTGTAAAAAATCTGAGATGGTACGTTTCTCCACAATGAACAGTTTTACAGCAAACCACTGAATAACTGCTCACATATCAACCATTAAATCATGCAGAAATTTAGAATGTTATTGGTGGAATTCCCCTTTAACAAATGTGCTCTAATGCAGGTTAATGAAGTTTAAGTGTGCACATGCATATTATACAAATGTGTTATTCTAGCAAAAATAGTGTCATAATGACAGCACTAGTGTAACTCATTCACTTAATCAGTTCAGCTCAGCACCGTTATTGTCTGATGTCTCCCAGTGTTGATGTTTTTTCCTCTTGTTGATAAGTTGATTAGTATTTTATATGCGTGGTGTGAGGTGGAGGAGGTGTTGGAGAAAAGTGGGGTTAAGTCCCTGTGTTTGAGGCAAAGCAAGGGGGGAGGTAGTGGTATACAGCTAGAGATCGATTCTTATTTAGATGAAAATGAGGCTGAGTGCTCGTGGGCTGAAAGTGCATCTGCCTCAGAAAGAGCTAAAGAGGACACCTATTCAGACTGGGATTTAAAAAGCACTTCTCAAAGAGACAGGTGGCTTTGACTTTCAGGGCTAATGGCAGATCAAAATCAAAGCCAAAGCCACCTACATGTATTCCATATTTATTAACCGATTATTAATTAGTTATAATGAGGTATCTCTTGTCAATCCTGGAAGGCAGGATATGTGAAAATGGTCAAATGTGACAGTCACATTGTCAACATTATACATTTGACACTATTCCACCATTCAAATACATGATAAAGTGCAGAAACAAAGCCAAACGGAATCAGTTGTGTGAATCCAATAATACTTACAAGGGCAATGATTAACGAAATACTCAATAAGCATTTGAGCAATATGAAATAAGCATTTTTCAGCTTACTGATTCTCTGCCACATACAGTACAGTGCCGAATTTAGAGACCACCTGTTAATTTCTGAAATTTCTAGTCAGACCAACCATTAAATTCATGTTATTAATTTTCCAGTGTCAGGTAAAAATGGAGAAAACATATATTTAACAAAAAATTTACATAGAAAACTCAACAACTGAAAATAACGGGTACAAAATTACCTACATACAGCAATTAAAATGTAAATCTGTAAACAAAGTGTGCAGACAATTGCACTTATGTTGATATTAAAACACAAAAAACAGTATTGTTAACAGGAATGATATACATATTCACTTTAGATATCCAGTTTTTTGACTATTGCAATGACATTTTTTGTGTCTATGTTTTTAGTCAGATCTGCATTAGTCTGCTATAAATGTTTTAGCAAAACACCCCAATAAAGTTAAGTATGATGATAATTAGGAAGAAAAAGGAAGGACTGTTAGTAACTGTTATGGCTTAAGCAACAATCATAGTACAGTAGTGTTGAAAAAAATTCCAGGCCGGTTAGTGCTTCTTTATTTTTGTTGTTGCTGACTATAACGAAATACAACAGCAGTCTATTTTGAATTTAATTAATTTTTTGTAACTGTAATTGACAGCTGTATGATCATTTATATCCAACTGCTCTTTTGCAACTCAGGTATGTACTTTTTTTTACTTTTTTTAAATAGCGGAGATGACACGTACCCCCATCCTCTGCTGAATTTGCACCAGTGGAATATAATATAAAAGTGTGTCCACTCTTTGCCTTTATAACAGCTTTCATTCTTTCCACGAGACTTGCTTTCAGTTTAATTTAAAGAAATCTGCAGGGATATTTTTCTACACCTCCAAAGTTCAGTCTTAGAAGTTGGTTGCACTTTCTGTTTCTCAATCTCAATCACAAATTTAGACTCGTCTGTCCAAAAAAACTCCACATCTCAGATGTCCAGGTTTGGTGTTTTAGTGCAGATTTTCTTGTTTCCATTTCCTTTCCTCAGTGAGGGCTTCTTGACAGCTACGCATCCTTTCAGACCCACAGTGTTGAGTTGTCTTCTCACAGTGGAAGGATGGTCAGAAACACCTGTGGATTTTTCAGATCTGAAGTAAGAGTGGAGCATGATTTTCTCCTCTCTCTCAAAGATGAAAGCTTTAAGTGCTGTTTATCTGATGGGGTCAGTTCTGGTGTCTGCCAGGTCTTACATGATTGTTAGGAGTCTCATTTTCTCTGTATCTTTTAATCATTTTTTGTCATTTACTTCTGGAAATGTGTTTTCCTTTGACTTTGTCCATCTATATGCAAGTGGATTATTTTATATCTAATCTCAGAAATGTGGTTGGTATAGTGTAGTGGGTAATATCTCTGCCTTCCACGCTGTAGGCTGGAGTTCAATCCCCACCTGGGCAAACACCCTACACTTTACCAATAAGAGTCCTTGGGCAAGACTCCTAACACTACCTTCGCCTACCTGTGTAAAAATGATGAAATTGTAAGTCACTCTGGATAAGAGCGTCTGCCAAATGCCATAAAATGTAAAATGTCTCTTTTAGCCACTCTGGATGCACATGAGAAAGAA